CTTGCCGTCAAGAAAAATTCCGTCAATCACATAACTCTTCGTCAAGAAGGAATTGCGTCAATCACATGTTTCTTCTTGAAAGTTTCGAGTGTTCCAGATTCATCATACACGGTGCAAGTTCTCGACGATCCAGGCCCAGAAAACCATAAAAAATACCCAAACAAATCCAAAATCAGGCCCCTCCACGTGACCCTTACAGGGTTTTCGGCACAGAAAACCATAAAAATAACCAAATAGAACCATAAAAAATACAAAAAAAACCTGGACCCCCGCTCCGGTCTCCGGAAGCAGTTTTAAGCGTCGTGACGGAGAGGCGAAGATCTCGGCGGAGCAGGCCGTGAAGCCTCTCGGCCGGCCTGGACTTCGGAGAGGAGAGAGGAGCGGAGCGCCCTTTCGCTCAGGGCCGCCATGGACGCCGAGGGCGGGAAGTTCGCGGGAAGCCAAGGGCATCCCAAAGCCTTGAGGGATCTCGGCGTCGGCGTCGGCTTCGTTCTGAGGTGACCCGCGGACGTTTGATCAACCAGTTCAAGGAGAGACGGAACGATTCTGATTCGGCCCGGGCGATATTTGGGCGGCTTTACCGGTGGAGCGCGCCTTGGCCCCGCTCGCGCAGAGGACTGCTGGGAGGAGTGTGGCAAGAAGCCTGGCTACTGTGACGATTTCTGCGGACAGGGCAACGCTTGCCGACCACTTACCATGATACTAATGCCTCCACACGGATCGTGAGCCGAGTGTTGATTCAGGCTGCCGTAAGACCGGTGACTCCATCGTCCCTGATGAATGCACGAAGGCACCAACGACAGCGAAGTTTCGATGTGCGTGTATTGTGTGCAGACGTCTGATTCGAAGGTGTACACCTTCTACACCCCGCATTACGAGTGCATCGTGCCGACGGCCTGCGCCGCAGAGTGGACCTGATTTTGGCTTTAGATAGCCAATATTGCCATGCCACTGCACCTGGCAGGTGCCCTATACCCCTGCGTCTGCGCTCCCAGCAGTCCCAAGAGTAAAGGCCAAGGCGGTGGCTTGATGAGCGGAGCAGCGATCCCTTCCTTCGTTGGCAGTGGCCTGTTTTGGAGGAAGGTGGGGACGACACGAGCGAAGTTGCGGTGACGGACGAGACAGTCAAGGAGGACAGCGCTGCACAGACCGCAGACCTGCCAGTGCGCCATAGCTCGGAAACTGTGCTGTCTGCAATCTGCAGACCTGCCTTCGCAACGTTGAGAGCTGTGCCGCAGAATCCCGCACCGCCCGGCGACGATGGAAGCTTCCCTCTCTGGGCCTGGATCCTGGTCCGGAGCCGAGCGGCCGAGCCGAGCCGACGAGCCGACGTCGGCTCCCGTGCGTCGGCTCGTCTTTTCGGTTCAAGCGAGAGGGAGTTGTGTACTGTTGTACTCGGAACGTGGCGCCGCTCAGATTGCCTTCACCCTCGTTGCCATCTGCGTCAGTGGCATTGCAGGTAAATGCGGGAGCCTGCGCGTTTAAGCAGCAGGTGTCGCCACGTCTGCGACAGGTTGGGAGCTCTCGAAGAACCACGAGAGTCGCGCCGGCACCCTGAAGGTTACCCGCGATGCCCAGGTGGGAAGAAAGGGAAGAAGAGCCTGAAAGCCTCAAGGTTGTTTTTGCCAAGGAACTCCATAGAACCCTACATGCTATTGTAGACCCGACAGGAAAGGGGCCTCCCGGGCTCTTAGCGCAGTTTGGCTGTTTCGGGCCCCTTGGAGGTCTCGGAGCCTGACGGTTTGAGCCCCCAGAGTGCGGGAGACCTGGAGCTGCAGGCGCGCGCGCCGGCGCGCCGGGCCTTTCATCTGCTTTGTTTGGCGTCCAAGATTATGATGGAGTCCAGTGGATTCTTCTTCGGGTTTTGGGGTTCAGGTGAGAGAATTTAAGGCTTTTCAACTCTCATCAGGGGAGATGCCGGTCCCAGCGCCGCTTTGAAGCAGTCGGATCTCGGATCTCCTCTCAGCGCGCAGGCTCCGCTGGTCCCCAGGCCCAGCATGGCCATGGCTGGGCCGGGCCCCGTGCCAGTGACCACGGGGGGCGTTTCTGTCGCCTCCATGGCCCCCATGGCATCCATGGCCCCCATGGCATCCATGGCCCCCATGGCGAGGGTCTCAGCTGTGGCGCTGTTGCTGCTGGGGCGTGTGCTGCCTGTGCTGCCGGCCGTGCTGCCTTTGCTAGGCATCCTACCAGGTCGCACCTCAAGCAGTGCCAGAGCCCCCGCTTTTGGAATCGGAGCTCAGCTTCGGAGACGCATTTCTGGTGCTCCAATGCCAAGGTATCAGTATGTTCCCTATGTCGCCGGATCTTCCCAAGGCAGGCCTTCAGCTTGCTAAGCTCTTGCAAGACCGGAGCTGTCCCGCAAGCTTTCTTGAAAGAGTTTCTTTCTTGTGGTCTCTCGGACTCGGTGCCATTGTAGCGGGGGCAGGCGAGCAGGTTTCACTGGAGACCTCGAGCCTTGGCTTCGCAGGCGTCTACCCAGCAGGACAGCTGGCGACCCACGTGGCAACGGCGGGAGCGGCACAGGCCGTGAAAGGGGGGCCGCTCCTCTTCATGAGCCGTGTGCGTAGATCGGCGCCTCTCTCAGGCCATGGTTTCCCCGGCAGGGTCCCAAGAGCCGCCAAGTGCTTCTCGTGCTCCGTGCTCCCGTTCTTTCCGCGGCTCAGGACTTCTTCGATCGGCTGGATGCGAACCACGACGGCATCCTGCAAAGAGATGAGTGGGACAGGGCCGTGCAGGCTGGAACCGAACGGCCGCTCTTCTGAGCACGCGATTGATTGTGCGCAGGCCGGCTCTGTGGCCGTGTCTTACCCCGCCGGCGCTTCTGCAGCTCTCTCCTCGAGACAGTAGCCGCCACACTTGGTGATGCGGTGTCGCCCACACTGGCACCTCGGACTCTGCAGACTCGGACCTGCTGGGCAGCCGGTGGGCTTCGGAGAAGGGCGTGTCGACGGCTTGCGTGCAGCCAAGGTCTGACGAGAGCAGCTGTTGGTTCTGCGGCGCCATGCCAACGTCAGCGCAATGACCCTGACACACGCGAAATGCACATCTCAACGCCTTGTCGGACAGTCTGTTGTGTGTGTGTGTGTTGTTGGAAGCATGCTCTTGATCGTCCTGAGACTGAGTGGCATCGAAAGCACGTAGCTGTGACACATTCGAGCTTATCGAAACAGTTTTCACCACAGCACAGATCACGTCGTCCGTGGCATGGTTCTAGTCTTTAGGTGCGGTGTGGATGCTAGCGATCGATATCGCAGCCCACATCTCGATGAGACTGGCATCCAGACCTCCCCTCGACGAAGTCGAATTATTTTTCATTTGTTTATTTTGTGCGCCACTGGCCATCGCTTTGGAGCGAAGTCTCCCCGGCGCTTGACCTGACTGCAGGCCTATAGAGACCTCCCCAATGTGGGAGTACCATCGGCGGAAAGAATGGGGGTGGCTTTGTGACATTCGCAGAGGCGTCGAAGCAGCTTGGAGTGTCTTTAGCATCTTCGCGCACTCCGCATGGCGGCTCCGACTTCGAATGCCTTAGAGCTGTCAAGACGCAGGCCGGCGATGTGGCAACGAGAGAGACCGCTGCCCCAAAAGAAGAGCACTGCCTCCCACTCCACAGCAACTCCAGCAGCTGCACTACTGCACTGCACTCCTTGCGTAGAGCCGAGAGCCGATCGGCCGAACAATGGCTCTTTGGGGCGCTGCCTCCTGGTGGGAGCGGAGCTCGGAGAAGTGGCTTCTGCTTCTTCCTCTTTCACCTCCTCTCTTCCTTTTCTTTGCTTCTGCTCTGAGGTCCTCGCGCTGCTTTTGGAGCGGCCCTCGACGGCGGTGGCCTGGCTGCCCGCTGAGACCGCCCCAGCCCTAGCACGCTTTCCGCAGTCATCAGATGCGACGGCTTTACTTTCCAGTTCCCTTCAGGCCTTCAGCAGCTCATGTCTTTGCCAGGAACATCGGTTGGGATCGGCGGCGGCTCGAATCACGGCGGCCGCGGAAGGCTTCGACAGGCCCTCGGGTGCGGAGTTTTCAGTCTTCTGTTCTGCCCACCTTCTCTCTCCTCGCCCTTTGCGCTTTGCCGCTGCTCGGCTCCTGTGGGAGGCTGCGTGCGGAGCTGGCCGCCGGGGGTCCCACCACGAGCCGACTCCTCGCAGGAGCCAGTGTTTGCCGTTCGGGCGGTTGGGCGGTTGGGGGCGGCTCCGCGGGTCCGTGCAGTCTCAGTAACACCGTGGTTTAGCAGGCCTGTCGCCGGAAGACGTGGGCCTGCTCCGCGGAGAGGGTTTAGGGCTCGGCAGAAGCTCTCGAAAGAAGCTCTCGGGCAGGCCTTTAAGCGCAGCCCTCCGCAGGCGAGTCGCGAGAGCTGATGTCGCGCTTCGCCAGCCTCCAAAGCCGGGTGCCAAAGACGAAGGTGTCTCAGAGCCGTTTCGGCCATGGCGTTGGCCATGGCAGGGCCGGAGGCAACGGAGGCGAAGGGTTTATATTGCGGGCGCGATTCCATCGTCTTTGGCTCGCAGTGGGAGAAAGCAGAGACTGTCTCAGACTTGCAGAGAGCCACAGTCCACAGATAGCTGCAGCCATCTGTAGCCATCTGTAGCCAGCTGCACTGTGGCTGTTCTTAGCCGTTCTTGGATTGCCGGGTTCTAGCTCTCAGCCATGGCAACGGTGCCGGTGAACCCAAAGCCCTTCCTCAATGATCTCACCGGCAAGCTGGCCGGGATCCGGGCTCCAGCCATCACAGGGACGCCTTCCCTCTTTGAGCCCCAGGTGCTCACGAAGCTGAAGTGGGGGATGGAGTACAAGGGAACCCTGAAGTGCGCCCTCTGCACTGATTCCTGTAGGTGCTTTGCAAGTGTGCGGTGTTTGAGTGCTCGCTGCTGCCGCAGCCGTCCAGAGAGGGCCCTGCGGGGGGAGGGTCCCAAGTGTCCGGCGGGGGCTCTGGCGGTGCGAAGTGAGGCAGGGCTTCGGCCACCAGCTGTCACCTTGCATGGCAATCGAGAGTTCTGAGGCAGATGCGCCGAGTGCGCCTGCTAGCTGCACTGGTGGTGGGCGCGTGCAGCCAGGAGGCCTGCGCTTTTTCGAGACGTCGAACGGACAAAACCTCGAGCTGTCGGTCCCCGTCTATCGATCCGGAGCGAGCGTAACACTGGGACGAAGGCTCGACGGGGGTTTGGAAGGCCTCCGTGTTCCTCGCTGTGTCCCATAGCGACCAAAACAAGTCAATGCTGCAATGCTAGATCAACTCGTTGAAGTGCAGGAACAAATGACGGAGCGACCCGATGCACGCCCGTCAAGAAGCGCCATAGAGTAAGAACATCCACGGCCAGTCATTTTGCTTGCCTGCCACGTCCCAACCCTCGAAGAATCGGACCTTTCCGCCTCTCGGCAGGTGAAGAAGCCCATTGTCACGACCGGCCTGATCCATGGAACCGGCGAGCTGCTCTACGACATTTATGCAGCCCCTTGTCCCAAGAGCGTGGGAACTACAGAAACTTCCCCTCCCGCCGATTCCGCAGCGAAGGCCACGTACCAGAGGTTCTTGCAACACCACGTTGAGAAGCACAGCAAGACGGCCACAGGCTCAGACTTGCCGGGCGCGTCCCTGCGTTTGCGTCTCCTCCTCCGTCCCCTCTCTCCCTCTGTCTCCCCTCTGTCTCCCTCTGTCTCCCTCTCCCTCTTTCCCTCACTCGGCCCGCCGGCCCATGCCGCAGCTCAGGTGCGGGATGCCCTGGAGCCGATGATGCCGCCGGACCGAAACGTTGCGCGATGTGCGAAGCGACGTTTGTGGATCTTTCTCCGTATTTCCATTTTTTCTCTCGAGCGGTGAAGGAGCTGGGCTCTTCTGTTCCCTTTCGGCGGGGAGATCTTCCGATCTTGCGTCTGTCAGCCACAGGACCCTGTCGGCGACATCTGTCAGACGGTGGGCGTGGAGAAGCAGGAGATCTTCCGAAGGCCTCGGCGGAGTGCCGCGCGCCGTGCCGGGGGGGGCGGGGGCCGGGGGGCCGGGGGGCCGGGGGCCGGGGCCGCCTAGTTCTGCCTCGGACCTCGGAGCCGCGCCGAGCACAGAAGCGTGGCGGAGACCTTGCCGGCGGCTGCAGGGTGGACTCGGCCGCGGAGCTGGCGGCGAACGCCCGGGACCAGGCGCAGGCGCCTCCGGGAGCCGAGCAGCAGAGAAAAAGCAGAGAGAGAAGAGAGGAAAAGAAGAGAGGAAAAGAGAGGAAAAGAGGGAGAGCGGAGCGAGCGGAGAGATAGAGCAAAACAAGAAGAGAGCAGAAAAGCAGCCGAAGAGCAGAGAGCCAGCGAAAGGGTGGAAGGTGCCGTGATGCCCTTCAGGCACACGGCTCCAGGGTGCACTCCGTGCTGTCCTCCGGATGCCTGGCTGCACTTTGTACGGCTGCGATGTAGATGCGCCGTAGAGGCATGGCGGCATGAACGTAGACCCGCGGACCAAAGACCCCGACAACTCGAGCCTTCTCTTCCTCTCTCTCTCTCTCTCTCCCATCTCCATCTTCGGCTCAGTCACCCACACCGTGGTCGACGGCTTTGAGACACGGGCTGAGATGGACCTGTGGCATGCGCGAATCCCGTTCCTTAGCATTGCCTCTGAGGCGACTGCTGCCGGCGCACAAGGGAATCATTTCCCGCACGCCTGGAGACCTGCTCCTGTTCTGCCTCTGGGTTGTGACCGTGCCGCGCATAAACTGGGGTCGGCTGTCGCTTTCGTTCATAGACCTCTGCTATAGCTGCTATAGCGTTCCTCGCGATCAGGTGCTTTACCTCACGCTGCAGGCGGCTCACCCCCTGCCGCAGCACGCAGCACGTACCTGCGGCTCTCTAGCGGAGAGCTTCTAAAGCGTCGAAACTGTGCCTTCAGATCGCCCTGGTCGCCTTCCGCATCGCCTGGCGGATTTTCCTCTTCGGGCTGAAGCTCTTGTGCTGCTGCGGCTGTTCGGGGCCCGTTTGATTGCACAAAACAGCGGCTGCAACCGACTGGAGTTAGAGGGAGCCGGGCAGCGCTCCGCTGCAAGGCTGTGGCCTCTGCTTCGGGAGTCGAGGCGGAGTGCTCGCTGCGCTGCGGGTGAGTTTGCGGGGGTCTCTCTGCTGGGGGTTTCCGTCTCGAGCTGCGGGAGGCGGCGCCTCGAGCAAGAGCAAGGCGCAGGCGTCCACCATGGCCCACCCAAGCCGGAGCTGACCGTGCTGTGCTGCTTGCGCAGGCGAAGAGTGGGAGCAAGAAGAAGTGAAGGGCAGAGGGCTGCAGAGGGCTGCAGAGGGCAGAGAGGAGCCCCGAGCCGCTCTCTGCTCTGCTCTGCTCGGGGGGCGCGTGACCGAAGGCCGCCTTCTCCTCCCGCAGCACCAAGAACCGGACGCGCGGCGCAGAGCGCGCGGTGCGCGGCGGCGCGCCCCTGCCTTCAATGCTGGGAGCGCGAGGCTCCTGGCAGCACCCTTCCGTGGGTAGAATTGCTTTCCACGCCGTCGCTGCCATGTCTGAATGTCATATGTGAAACCCATGAAGATATAGCAGAGACCGTACGGCGCAATCTGGGTTGCTTCATCGCTCCTTCAAAGCGCAGCTGGACGTGGGTCCAGAGCCAGAGCCAGAGCCAGAGCTTGGGAGCAGGGAGCCGAGCTGCAAAAGAAAAGGGGGCAGAGGGATCGCATCGCATGATCGGGGGAGTCAGTCGCTGCTTTTTCGCTGCGAGAAGCCGTCGGCTGTCTCTGCGCCTCAGCGACGCGCAGGTCCATTGACCCGTACATGAACCTGCAACTGCCGCCCTGGCACATTGACAAAGCCTCCCCATTGCCCAACCCCGTTCCGAGTCTGTCACAAGGCTGAACACGGAAGAGTGGGTGCGGCCCTCGTTGTTTGCATCCAGGGGAGGTTCCGTCTTGAAAGGCACAGGCTGCCTGCGTCTTTCAGGTTGATGGCAGCTTCCGCGGCAACCTCGGGGAGGTGTTCATCCGCTGCAACAATGCGCCTTCGGGACCTTTTCGGTGCTGCAGCCTGTGCATGTGCTAGAGCTGCTAGAGCTGCTAGAGCTGCCAGGTACTGTATATCCGCGGCATGGCCGACGAGGAGTCTGACATGGACTGAGGGTCACGGCAGCTTCTGCGGGGCTGTCGGATGGCACCCAGAAGTTTTGGGCAGCAAAAGCCACAGAGACTCTGTGTCTTTGGCTGTGTCCAGCGACGACGCTACCTCTGTGGAACGAAGGCAAGAAAAAGCTGGGAGCTTCCGTAGAGGTGGCTGAATGCTTGGCCTGAGTCATGCTACCAGTCAGCAATTGCTTCATATCAGATACGGCAGAGTGTTTGCCCAGGTCAGGGCGTGCAACTTACGAAGCTATGGCGCCAATGCACCTTGGATTAGAACTGCCTTGTATAGTTTTCGAGAGCCTCTGCCATTTTGCCGCATACGGCAGCAGGTTGGTCGGTTCGAAGCTTTTCCCGATCCACACAAGGCAATCAAGGCGGGGAGTCGGAGGATCAGGAGGACCACTCCCTCATGGAGCTGAAGGCCAAGCGGTCGGAGCCGTTCCAGCTCAGATAGCCTTCTCCTTCTCAGTTCAGTGACTGCGCAGGACAGAAACCGTCCGAATTCCTCGCTGAGGACTTGTTACGTGACGCCTCCACGACGTGCCCTTGGATCACTCTATGGCGCGACCTCTGCAGGAGCCTGGAAGCCGTAGCCGTGGAGGACGCCTCGGACGACGCCTCGGAGAAGGATCTGAACAGCTCGGTGGAGTTGGATCCGGCCTCGAGCTGCGCCTCCGAAGAGTCGGAGACGCCCGAAGAGGCGGAAGATGGCGCGGTGGCGGCGGTTGCGGAAGGGCCTCTGGTTTCGGGCGACGTGGACTCGGAGGAGACTGCTTTGGCCAATGTCACCAGGTCGGAGGACCTTGAAAACCTGATGTCGAGATGCGGGAACTGCTCTGCGTCAGAGATGGTCCCGGCTGTTTCCGGGTTGTGTGCGACACCGGCCGAGACCGAGACTGTTGGCTATGTGCTGACGGAGGTTTCCTTGGATTCCGAGGACTTCTCCGTGCAAGCCTCATGCGACGGATCCATTGGCTTCGATGGTCTGGCGACGGCGAGAAAATGTGATGAGCCCCAGGAACCCTACAGCCTCAGCGGATGTACTAGGACATGTCTGAGCAACGAGTCTGTCGGCTATCTCGTCACGGAGACGTCACTGGATCGACTGAACTTCGAGGTCTCAGCCAGTTGCCTTCCGGGCTGGATCGGTGAGGCAAAGGCATGGCCGTGTTCGCAGGTTGGTGAAGCATACCAGCTTGCGGGCTGCTCCGAGACCAAACCGGACCCGGCTTCCGTCTGTGGCCTTGGCTCACTTGGCTCAGGCTCGAACTCTTCGTGGACCCTTGAGCAGGCCAGGGCTTTCGCAGAGGAGTTGCTCCAGTTCGCCGGAGACCTCGAAGCTCAGCTCCTCCACGTGCAGCGCGTCGCCAACATCTCGGCCTTGTCCAAAACGCCGCACGCAGCCGCCTGCGCTGCGGCGCTGCAGCAGCTCGGGGAGGAGGCTCAGCGGCAGCAGCTCGGGGCGCAGCGGCCGCGGCCGTGGCGGCTCCGCGCGCTTTGGCGGCAGCTCGGGGCTCGGGCTGCGGCCTTGGACCCACGGAGCCCCGAAGCGGAGACGCTCCGGCGCTTCGACTCCGTCACGGCCGAGGCGAAGGCAGCCCTGCAGGCCATGGGCGAAGCGGAGGCGGAGGCGGAGGAAGCGTCGCCAGCGTCGCTTCTGAGAAACTCCAGAGCCGGCTGCGACTTGCAGAGCGTCGAGGCCGCGGGGAAGCGCTTCGAGGAGACTTTGCAGGGCTTCCGGGGACAAGTGATCTCCAACATGCTCCCTAGAGAAGTGGAGAACCTCCACCGAGTGGTGCATACGCTGGAAGTTGCGCGCAACTCGTTGCTTGCGCACTTCGAAGCTGCCGATGATCCGTTGCAAGAGTGTGAGAGATACTTCTCCGGCGTCAGCCAACTGGAATCAGATCTCGCACATTATCGAAACCTCCTGGAGCCCCCGAAGCCGCAAGCGCAAGCATCACCGCGGCCTGCGTCGCAGCCGCTACAAGCTGGGCAGTTGCCACAGTTAGAGCTGGCACCGAGCGGCTCACTGCCCAGGGCCGCCATCAGAGGCGCGACTCTGTTCAGTGGTATGTGTGTGTGTGTGTGTGTGTGCAGTGTTAGCAGGCTTTGCAAGCTTAGCGGCTTAGCAGTTGTGGTGAGGGCTTTCAGAGTGCTTCCACGGTGCCTTCTGGCCGCGAGGTGCTGGACCCGCCCTGGATGCCAGGCCGTGGGGTCGATGCGTTCCTGTGTCTTTTCGATGGGGGCGAGCTTTCGTCAACCGTGTTGCGATGTCGCCCGGTCTGAAAGAGGTCTTTCAGATGAAAGCTGAGACGGACGCCTGAGTTGTTCAAGTCTGCGAGAGGCCAGCGCTCCTGGCGAGAAATATTCCTAAAACATCCGCCTCTTGTGAAGAGCAAACTGGGGGTCTCATCAACACAGCCTCTCTCGCGTTCCCTGTTATGTGCTCCCATACGCGCCTTTGAAAGGTGCAGCGCTGCGCTCCGCTGACTTTCCGATCAGAGGGAAAAGTTGTGTGAGGTATGGGATGGGATGGGATGGGATGGGAGGGGGTGCTGCCTTGCTTTCACAGAGTTCTTGCCAGAGACCGTTGCTCGGTGCCAGAGGCTATAGAGGCTGGACACGACATGGACCCAGCTTGGTGTGCTCCTAAAGCGTCAGCTCCAAACCCGAAGAATTCGAGCACAGCAGAAGCCCAACAGATTCAGAAGCCTAAGCTGCTCACGCCCCGGTTGTCTGTTCTGTGGTAAATCCTGGGGTACCAGTCTCAACACGACACAGCTTTCACAGCAGAAAGGGCTGCGTCAAAGGCAGAATCGAAGCAGAAACATCTTTCAACCACCGCATGTGAATCCCAGCCCATGGCCCCGTGTGTTTCCGAGGCCTTGGGCTGCTTTGCGCACCACTTCCGCGTTCAAAGCTCTTCAGCTTTTCTTGCTCCGGGCTCAAGTCTAAGCCTCTAAGTCTAAGTCCGGAGGATGCCATCCGTCCCTCACTCGGATGGCGCATCGCCGGGCGCCTCGGCCTCTGTGGACTGCGTCTCCCTCCAGGCCGCCCGGCCTGGGTCCTGGTCCTGCCAGACAAGGGGGAGGGGAGAGTGTCGTGGGTGTTGTGGGTTCTGTGGGTGTGTTTCTTTCGTTGGCTCCTTCTTGAGAATGGGTGTGAGTGCACCAGATCATTTCGCGATTGTCGCGCTTGATGCGAGAGGACGTTCATACGACGGGGGTGTGGCGGAGGTCTCTCTGCGACTACTCCCGGCGATTCAAAGCCAAAGTGAAGCTTCAGCATGAAGGCATGCATTGGCGAGAGATAGGGTTTGAGGTTGCGGGTCTAAGGTTAAGGGTTACGGTTTTTTGGGCATCAGCGACCTTTACGGTTTGTCTTTTTGTGGGATTAGGCTTTAGGCTGAGGGTTTTGTTAGGGTTTAGGGTTTGGGGTTGAGGGCTCAGGGTTGGTTTGTTTTTGGATAAAGGCTTTGTGGTTCGGGTTTGGAGAATTTGGGGTGAGGGTTTAGGGTTTAAGCTCTTGCGTTTTCGAGTTTGGGGTTGGATTAGGGCTTTAGTGTTTAGGGTTTAGGTTTGGGGTGAGGGTTTAGGGTTTTGCGGTTTAAGCTTGAGGGTTTTTGGGCATCAGCGATCTCAGGTTGAGGGTTTAGGGCTGGGTGTTTTTGGGGTTAAGGTGGGCTGTAGGGTTTAGGGTTTGGGGTGAGGGTTTAGGGCCGAGAGGTTTTTGGGGTTTAGGGTTGCAGGCTTTAGGGTTTGGGGTGTGGGGCTCAGGGTTTAAAGGGTTTTTGGGGCTCAGGGTTTAGGGTTTTGGGGTTTGTGCCAGAACCGTAGCCATGTCCACTCCGACCCCATCCAATTACCAAAGCCTGCGTGCCCGAACGTCCACTCCCACCCAGTCCGATTGCCAGAACATCCATGCGCGAACCGGACCTGAAACGCACCCAGGCGTGCCCGAAGCGCTGAAGCGCGTCCGGCCGGTTCCGAACGGAACAGCCATGCAGTGACCGCATTTACTTGTTTATCAGTATCATGTGCTGTTTCTAGTCGTTGTTGCGTTTGTTCTTTTTTCCTCCAAGGCATGCTGGCTGTTTGTCTTCCATGCGTTGCTGGAACGGTTACACTGTTCAAGTTTTAGCTGGCGTTAGGTGGGGGGGGGTTCGAGCGCGGGCATTTCTTCACGGATGAAGTGTTTAGGATGGGAGAATTGCGTTTTTTTTCGTAGGAAGGGGGCGCACGGGTATGGGGAGGTTGAGTCCTTTTTCCTCGACTCTTCCCGGGCAGGGCAGGGCAGGGCAGAGCAGAGCAAAGGGGAGGGCAGGGCAGGCAGGGCAAGGCGGCACAAGTAGGCAACAAAGCCCGGTCGACCTCGTCTAGGAGCCACTCTGGCTCGTTTGCGATCTCCCAGCCCACTGAGCGGCGGGCGAAGATCGCGGCGGCCTCCGCGTCTACTAGCTTTTTGAGCCGCCGCACGATCCCCAGGTAGCGCTCGCATCCGGGCTCCATCATTAGCTCGGCCCTCTGGCCGCCACTGGGCTTTGCCCGAGTGTCGGTATACAAGCTTTGTCTGATGCGCAGGCGAGACGGTGATCGTGTCGCAAGCCCCGCACGTCCAAGCCTGGGAAAGCAGCGATCCAATGAGCACAGGTGCCTGAGAGTCTCCTCTGGGTCGCAGTGTTGTCGTTCGTTCCTTAATGTCTTCTTCAGTTATATGAGACATTAATTATGACAATGATATTATGCATTCGCTGTTGAGAAGATGTCTGACGGAGGCAGCACGGTCTGGGATTCGGCGCTGGTCTTGCTGCACTTTCTCGCTCAGCGCTCCGAGCTGGTCGCGGGCAGAGAGGTGCTGGAGCTGGGCGCCGGGACTGGCTTGGTGGGGCTGGCGGCCGAAAGGATCTTCAAAGCCAGGAGAATTCTGCTCACGGATTTGCCGGGTCTTTGCCCGCTCCTGCGGGTGAATCTTGATCTCAACTCCTTCACAGCCGGCGAGGTGCGGCCGCTGCTATGGCAAGAGGCGCATTGCAGCTGGTTGTCCGAAGGTCACAGCTTCAGCAGGGTGCTGATGTCGGACGTGTTGTACCATGAGCCGCAGTACGCTCCACTGCTGAATGTGCTTCGGGTCCTTGCCCGCTCCCATCGGGGAGAGAAACCTCTGATAGTCTACTGGGCGCAGGAAGCCCACAACCCCGAGCTGTGCCGTCGCTTGGTGAAATCTTTGGCCAAGGAGGGCTGGGGCCAAAAGCTGGTAACGCGTGTCGACGACGGTCTGGGAGCCGAAATCTTCGTTTGCACGCTTACGGCACCGACCGCTTCGAAGCGTTCAGAAGTGCAAGCGCGTAGTAGAAGAAAGAGGATCTTGCTGAGAAGGCGGAGGAGTTTACGGAAGTTGCTCTTGTTGAGGCTGTGCTTGCGCAGGACCAGGAGGTGCGTGGAAGTGAAGCAGCTTGGAGGGGATGGCAGGAGATCGGAAAAGAGCGGCAGGGTGCTGGGACGGGTCAGGTTTCTTCTGGCCCAGATGCAGCAAACCGAAGCTCCGAATAGCTCCAACAGGCAGATGGGGCCACAGCTCGTATCCTGGAGCTTCTGAAGGGGGCAGGCCAGCTCGAAAGAAGGGCGAAAGGGCCGCAACTGCCCGTCAAGTGTCTCGTCTCCAGGTACACCCGACACCAAGGACTTGGGGGTCGGATATATATGTCCCTGCCTGTGAGAGTCAGAGGGAGGGGGAAGAAGCGGACGGAAGAATCCTTGCCAATCCTTTCCAACAGAGTGTCTCTCAGAGTCTGAGACTCTCTCTGTCTCTCTCTTTCTCTCTCTGGCTCTGTCTCTGTCTCAGGCTTTGTGGGTCTCATCTGCTGATCTGCCTGCGAGGAGACGGTGCTCGAATACCGCGGGCAGTGGCAGCCGAAACCGAACGGAGCCGAAACAGGAGCAGGGCGAGAGCAGGGAGCGCCGATGAGCGTGCGGAGAGCGCGCCTTCTCTTTCGGAGCTGTCGGCATATCTGTGAGAGGACATGGCGTCGTCCCTGAGGACCCCCCCGCGCCCGCCGCTCCTGGTCCTAAAGAAGAGAGTCTCGTGTGGTGCCAGCGACGAGGACTGGGCCATCGAGGTCGCTTCGGAGAACGACCGGCGCCTGGCCTCCTTCGGCCCAGCGCTCGACGATGTTCCGCTCCGCGTTCCGCCGCGCCGCGCGGTATCCCCGGCTCGGGCTCCGCCGTCCGAGGTTGGGCCGGCGGAGCCCAGCTGTGTTTGTCCAACGCCTTTCGGCAAGCGGACGAGCTCGAGGCCCAGGCGAAGGCCAGGGCCAAATGCAGGGCCCGCCCCGCGCGCCGCCGCGTTCTCACAAGACTGTGCCGTTGCGAGGACCTCATTGAGAGCGGCACCTGTACGGAAGACGACGCTGCCGTGCAGTGCATCCGCACCCTCGCACCTTGGCAGCAGGCATGGCTCATGTGTTCGCTGCTGAGTGTGTTCCGTCTGAGGCCAAGGCCACCGAAGAGCGAGAGGCCTTGATGCGGAGGCTCTCAAACGCTTCGGCAGCAAGCTTTCCCGTGGCAAGGCCTGGTAGCTTTTCGCTTTGGGAGGCAGTGGTGCGACATCGACTTCCAGCAAGGGGAAGAAGCCAACAAGGAATTTGTGGTATGCGTAGGCATAGGTTTAAGCCATGTGGCACGAGATGAGCCACAGGAGCTTTTGAAGCACCTCGAGAAGGACTTTGCTTCTCAGCTGGTGAAGACGGCCGTGAGGCAGGCTGAGGCCGGCCCGCCGAAGCGCCCTGATGCCATGCCCTGATGTGACCTGCGGCAGCCAGCAGCGCCCATGTGTGATGTGCGGCAGCTTTCGCTCTCTCTCTCTCTCTGTGCCTCTCTCTCCCTCTCTTCGTTTCTGCAGGATGAAGATCAGAGCGAAGCCCCCCCATGGTCCCGGCCCAAACGCGGAGAACCTTTGCCACAGGAGTGCAGTATCAGACGAGGTACAACCTGAAGTTGTGCACCGGCGCGTTGAGAGGCAAAGCGTCGGACTGAGACTCGAGAGATTTGGGGCGAGTACCTGCTACCTTCCATCTGCTACCTGCTAGCTGTTTCAGCGAGCTGAGGTCTACCTCAGCGCAGGTTCCGGCGGTGACGGCCCGGTCCCGACGAGAGAGCCTCTGAGAGCCCCTCCCGTGGCACCTCTCAGAGCAGAGAAGGCTAGAGGAGTTGGAGGGCCGCCCCAGGTCTCGCGGAGCTCGCCGGCCACGACGACGAGTCCGGGCCGCTCTGCAGCAGACGCTCCGAACCTCCGCTCCGCTCTCTCCGCATCTCTCCGCCTCTCACTCTTTCTCTCCCTTTCCCTCTCTCTTTCCTCCTCCAGTCCAGGCGCCAGCGCTGGCAGCTCGAGTCCGGCGGCACAGCCGAAGCGGCGGTGTCCTCTTCCCGAAGCCGTGGCCCCAGAAAGCTGTAGAGTGTGCACACCTGGGCTGCACTATGCTGCACTATCACTACAGCTCTACAGCTGCTTGAACTGAGGTTGGTATCGCTTGCGGCTGCAGGGACCTGAGTGGCTCCTCTGCTCCTGCGTGGCGGCTTGGGAGCCCTCGTCCAGGTCCGGTGGCACCACACCGGGGCGGCGACTTCTGAGCCTCTTCGCCTGAAGGGGGGGCTCTGGCTCTTGGGGAGGATGATCTTGGCATCCATGGCTGCCGTCTGCTTGCAGTTTAACGAGGCCGTGGCGCCCGGTGCCTGGAGCTCTGCGAGCACGACGACGGTTCCGGTAGGCAGCGCTGGCAAGCGGGGGCCCCAGCATGGCACTTCGATGGTGCTCCTGCTGTTGTTCCACTCTTCAGGTTCTGCGTGGCTCTTCTGGGTGGGCTTGCGGCTCGAAGAGTTGGAGAGTCCCGGTCCATGCCTGGCACATCGTGGTGCAAGCTGTCAGGTGCTGCGGGCGGCCGTGGGTTGTGGCGATCCCGGCGTCGGTGCCACCCTTGGAACTGACATGCCAATGCAAATGTGCAGGTAGATCTGCTAAAGGCCGGGAAGTTTGAGTCGCAAGTGCTGTCAGGTGCTGCTGCGCTGGTGGAGGCGAGTCCCGACTTTTGCTGCTCTCGCGGGGCCGGGGCCCCCCGATGTGACGGGGCGACGAGCGCAGGCTGAAGCCGCCGGGTGCTGCTTGGGGGCCACGCCGGCAGGTGCTGTGAGCCTGCAGGCGCCGGGGGAGTTCGCGGCCTTGCGCAAGTTCGCGGCGTGAGACGCATCGCAAACCGTGCGAGGCAGTGGAGGCAGAATGGGAGGCCGGGCCGCGAGATATGTAGAGTGCCGAAGGCCCCCGAAAGAGAGCCCTTGCTGACAGATTGTGGGGCCGGGCGGGAGCAGCAGGCTCAGACTGCACAAGGCCGTCCACACTTAAGACTTGTCTATTTGTCACTCATCTACTCTTGCGCTTCTCCCGAGCCGAGGCTTTCAAGATCCCCTGGCCGAGACCTCACCACGGCCAAAGGCACCCCCAGCCCAGAAAGACACGCGCTCAAAGGGCCCATGGGGCCGTGGCCATGGTCTCCTCCCAAGGAGCCGGAGGCAGAGGCGAGAGAGAGGGACGAGCTGATGGCGGGGAGCCTGAGCTGCGGAGAACCTCGCTTTGGTCTTCTTCTCGCTTCGCCGGATCGCCGCTTCGCCGCTTCGAGGAGATTGTGGAGCGCTCCACATCCTCCATGGATTGGAAGGCCATGAGCGAGGAGAGACGAGACCAAAGCGGTCAACAAAGTGAGGGCGCCGTGTTTCGGATCTCCGGCCCTTGAGGACAGGATGAGAAGGGTGCTGGGGCAGAGCAGGAGCCGCACCCGAAAAGCGGAGTAGGAGGGAGATGGTACCTCCGACCCGTCCCAGGAACCTTGGAACGGCCATCGACCTCGTTGGCGTCGGGTGCCCGAAACATCGGCTCAGCCTCGCCAGAGAGTCTAAGCCATCTCAGGCTTATCTCAAGAACTACGAGATAGACAAGGCCCTGAATGGACCGCCATCCTCCTCCGGTCCTTACCATTTCCAAGTCTCATTGTCAGTATCACTGTGCATATGTGCGAGTATCATATAATCAGTGTCATGCTGAATGTATGAAACTCTAAGTAGCCATGAGGGCCGTCGGTGAGATGTGAATGCATATGTTCTGCTTGAGGGCACGGGTTGCACGAGCGATTGAGACGACAGGCGAAGGAAAAGAGGTAGCACGGCAAATGTAGCTGCCTCTTCGCCTTGCCCCGCTTTCAAGACACTGTTTTATAGTGGTCTAGATCCTACTTAGTGCTACTCTTAGCCGGAAAACCTATGCATGGCAGGCCCTAAATGCGAGCTTCGCTAGGACAAGTAGCCTCCTCCTCCTCCTCCTCCTCCTCCTCCTCCTCCTCCTCGTATTCTCCTCCTTTCTCATCGGTGTCACTTTCATTATCATTCACACCGCGAGTGAGACTACCAGCATTGCTCGCCTTAGTGTGACCAAGCTCTTTATGCGCCTTTCCGTGCGGCCAGGCCGATCGCCTCTGTGCACGGATTTTCCCACTTTGCCTGGAGCGAGGGGGAATCTGGCACTTCAAGCTGCGCAGACCTTACTTTCAAGTTGGGTCCTGGTGCCTGGGGTCAGGTGTTCATGAGCTGCACTGCATGACCAATGCAATGGTTCAGACATGCCATCGGGTTCCACCAGCACAAGTACTGTTGAACATTGACTGCCGTCGTTGCATCGGCGTCGCCGTCAGCATCAGCATCGACAGCGGCAAAGCATCGTCATCATCGTCACTCCCTTTTGCATCCTCTCCGCCTCCTCCTCCTCCTAGTCTTCACTCACCATCAGTCATGGTCACCACCATTATGATTCAATATGTTCATCAGCATCCTGCAGACCATGCAGACCCTGAAGCCCGTGCAGCCGCTGCAGACCAGGTAGCCCCTTTCAGCACCGCAGCCCCAGCAGCGTCACCGCAGCCACCGCCGCCACCACCACCATCATCATCATCATCACCGCCATCATCACCTTCATCAGCATTATCATCACCATAAGCATCATCACCGTCATCATAACCATTGTCAAGGCAGGCTGGTCGTCTTCATCTGCACCACCACAGCCACCCTCACAGCCCTCACTTTTGCCATCATCCAGCCTTCAAATCACACTTCAGTCACCATCAGTGTGACCATCGTGGCCATCATCGTCATTCCAATGAATCGCAGAGTCAACTGCGGTGTTTGAAGCCTCTGGTGCTTGAGCTTGCCTGGCGGCTGGTAGATGATCCACGAAAAGCTGGTTTCAACAGATGCAAAAGCAGCCAGTACAGCTAGTGCAGCTAGTGCATCACGAGACCCTGAGCCAAGATCAAGGAAGGTTTTGGAAATCTCCTTCGGGCCTTCAAGGTTGAACTTCTACACCACCGTGCGCATGAAGCAGTCCAGATACCAGGAGAGAGTCTGCTGTTTATGCGCCTCACGTACCGAAGCGCGATTCGAGAACCTGCCGAGCACTGTGATTCAAGCATGCCGGCTTCAAGCACGCGATTGAACCCTGCCGGCAGTTCCAACACCCCATTCAAGCAGCCAAGCACTCGAATTTGTTGTGGGGTTCAGGGTCCGAGGATTCCAAGTGTCTAGGTTAAAATAGAATATTCTCAATTTTTGGGATCATCAGACACGTGTCTAGGGTCTGCGGCTCGAGAGTGTCAGGGCTTAGGGTTTGCATGGTGCAGGCTTTGTGGTTTCGGCTTTTAGAGGTTTCCGTTTTTAGGGTTTAGGGTTTAGGGTTGGTTGCAAAAATTCCCGAGCTGACAGGCAAGTGCTACTAGGTGTCTCTGATCTTTGTATGGTTTTCTGCCATTGCTTTTCAAGGGGTACGCTTGTGACGTAGGAGTGAACATGCTACCCGCTGCCCACCCTCTTCTGGTGGCAAGCCGTTGTGCACCAGCATAATTGAACAAGCTTATTGCGATGCAGCAGCAAAGATTGAACACGACACGTAAATGTAGTCCTGCTTACTCGGCTACGAGGCTGTGTATAGATACTGGTAGCAAGCTTTTTCACTTCGAGGCCTCTCCTCTCCCGCGCAAGTGTCGCCGGCCTTTCCGTGAGGCGAAGGTTCTCTTGGCTTCTCGGATGTGGGCACAAAGCAGAAAGAGGGGAGCGTCTCCAACACAATCCTGAAATCTTATGCAAGGCCAACCGATGCAACAATTTCCAACCTCGCCGTATCATGTCATCTTTGCCGGGCACGCTTTTTGGTCTTCCGCGGCATCGAGGAAGACACGGGCTCAGCCGTTTTCCCTGCCCGTTGCCAGCACCTCTGCTGTCTCCCTTGTTGCCCTTGCCGGTGTGCCCGTCTGCCATTGCACGTCGACTCAGCCGGAAGTTTGTCTGAAGGACAAACTCATTCCCATTCAAAGCAAGACAGTCTAAAAAATTTCGGGAGCTCCCGGAGGCGTGGCGCCATGCCACATCACTCAGGGACTCAGGGACTTTGCCAACAAATCTTTCGATTTTAGAGCATTTCAAGGCTTGGGGCGTTTTGGGTTTGGGGTAGCAAGCATGCGTTTTAAGGTTTAGACTGAAGGGTTTCGGGCTTAGGTTCTGACAAACCACATAGGTTGTTGTGGGGCCACTCACTCTCGAATTAAACATTGGCTTGCTTAACATATGGTTTGGGAGCGGGTCCGGCATTTGTCACAATCCCCCACTCCTGCGGCCCTTGCAGTGCAAATCTCCGGTGCACCAAATCGGCATGAGTCGTCCATTCGCGACTCCCCAGTGTGAATCCGCGGTGCGCGAATCCCATGTTACCTTCGCGAACATCATCGGGCTGCCCGAATGCACGAATCGGATATTTCTGTTGTGCGGATCTGCAGCGGAATGGCGCAGGAAGCTCTTGAGATGTACAAAGAGTATGAGACCTTGATCAAGTTCTCTCCGGACGAGGCATGGGGCTATGTGACAAACACGTGTCAAGTCATTGATTTAGGATATTCTGCGTTGCGAGGCATGGGAGCTCTATGACACGGTGTACCGCCGCAAGCTTGTATAAACTTGGCAAAGCACCGCTTCTCATCGGTCCCTGTCCAGCCTCGACTCCAGGCAACTTCGGCTGGATCTACACCAGCCTCCACGACTACGACAAGGTCCTCCTCAACGCCAACATCCATCCATGTGCGTAGGGCTTGTGCAAGTTTTCGGGCAGGCCCTGGAATACTTCGAGAGATGCGTCGACGTCAAGAAGAAGCACGGTGTCCGGAGCACTGAAATGCTGGTTCACAAGAGCATGTCAGGTATGTGTGTATTGAAATGCAGAGAGGTCAAGGCCCATTGGTTCGACCAGTGGGATTTGGGAAAGACCCACGCTCGCCTGTCCCTGCCGGGGTCTCGAAGCTTGAACCGTAAACTTCACGATGTGGGTTCGGCTCTTTGGCTCTTGTTTTGTTTTGTTTTTGGCTGGTTTCAAACGAAGGCAGCAGGGCCGACCGGAGAGGTTGGAAATGGCCGGGCAGCTCATCGAGGAGGCCCTGGCAATGCACCGCCCGAAGCCCTGGCCCCTCCCTCGCGGCCCTCTCCCCCCTCGCCTCTGCTTGGGCCCTCTCCTCTCTCCTCTGTCTCTAAGGCGAGGTGGAGCCGCGCACCCGGAGCTCTCGGCTGGAAGTGGAAGCCTGGCGCCGGTGGATTCTCGAGGCCCTCGGACTTGATCATGCGCTGCAAGATGCTCAACTCGGCCGGGCTCCCGGGCTCTCTCGTCAAAGAATGATGGAGAGAGTAGAGAGGGGGGGCTGCAGTGGGTGGGACGACGTGCCGAAGGCCGGGGAGTGCTTCTCCGTCAGGGGCGACTTCTGCAGTGAGCAGAAGGCGTGAACTGGGCGAGGCCAGCGGTGTGATGCGCTTTTGAGTGCTTCTGACAAAGGTGGCAGAGCGATCGTGGGACCGGGCCATTGCGCTGCACGAGGAGTCCTACGAGCTCTACATGAAGGCTTCCGGACGTGCGGAGCACGTTCCCACACGGTGTCGGAACAGTGGAAGGTGTTGGGGCCGAGCAAGCCGCTGACCGGCTGGGCCATGGAGGACCTGGCCGGCGCCTACAAGAGGCAACAACCCCCAAAAGTTGCTGCCATGCCATGCGAGTCCTCTTCTTCCTCTTGCCGCAAGGCGCGGGCGGCTGGAAGAGGCCAAGCGCCTGATCCTGGGAGCTCTCCGCGTCGAGTGCTCCAAGGAAGTTGGAAGTCGGCCCCGCGGTTCCTCGCGGTTAGTCTTAGACCTTTGGTCTGCAGGACATCATCAAGCTCTCTTCCATGGCACGCTTGCTGGATGCCGTGCTCGAGCTGCACAAGGTCAGGGCCAGGGCCAGGATGCGAGTGCCGACCTTGCCCTGAAAAAGCCCACTAGGCCCGCTAGCTTACCTTTGGTTTGTAGGGAATGGAAGATTAAGGTAGTAATAGTAGTTATACTTGTACCCCATTCCTCCATTCCGTACTAATCAAAGGTAAGCTATGGCCCACCACAGGTCACCGGAAGTCCCGTCGCAGGAGACGCGGGACCTGGCCGGGCTTGCCGACTGCCAGGCCGGCCGGCTCCCCGCTGGGCCCCTTTTCCCGGCTCAGCGGATCCTCGGAAGTTTTTGACAGGACGCCATCAACGAGGGCTTGGAGAACCTGCAGAAGCGGCGCATCGACCGATCGGAGGCCTCGAAAGTTCTTGTAAGCTAGACTCCGCACTGGATCCCTGCCGCTCTGAGAGTGGCAGGCCGCGAGCTATGCGGCTCTCTTGCAGAAGATCGCGCAGCTGCTGCCACGCCCTCCGATGTGCTCCGAGCTTCCATGCTGGTTCTCCGAGCCGGAGCCCGGCTGAGGCTCGAATACGACGTGGCCAACCGCGAGGGTGCTGTGGCTCTTCTGCAGGAAGGCGGGCGGAGCGTCGAGTCGCGTCGAGTCGTCGAGCTTCCGAGCTGCATAGCTTGGGCTTGGCAGCTCTCGGCTACCTGAACCACCTGAAAGCGCCAGCGCCAGCGCCGGAGCCAGAGCCATTGCGAGCGACGAGTGCTTTCTGCGAAAGCTGCGACTGCGACGGCCACAGGAAGACTGCTTCGATGGACTCCTCGCAGAAGCCGCGCGATGCCCAGCCAGGGAGAGGGAGGGTGCGGCGGGCTTTGTCCTCTTTTCAATGCAACTCTTCGCACGCCTTGCGAAGCTCCGTAAGGCACCCGGAATCGGCTGCACCGGATGGGCAGGCGGATGCCCAGGCTCGATGTCGAAGAGCTTTTCAACAGGATCTCACCCAGCGCATGTCTCAGGGCGAGCGCCTGCACATCCCGAAGGCACAGACAGCAGCATGCCAAGTTCTCCTCTTTGTTGCTGTACCCAAAGCCTCAACCGTACAGGCAGGACAGCAAGAGATGCAAGTGGACCCGGAAGTGCTGAAGACTTCCATTGAGGACGCAGCGCAATCGCGGCGCCGTCTCAGTGCCGAAGTAGACTTGGTCGCAGGAACAGCTGCAAAGTCTCCGGACATGGCATTGTAGATCAAGGGGCACGTCCCGTCCAGATTCCGAGCAGGACGGCATTGCTGCATTGCTTGCCGCCAGCTGCTGCAAGGTAACACTCTGCCGAGTTAAGTTCAACGCTCGCAGGACATCCATTTCGAGGTTGCGGGCTCCTCAAGGATGTGAAGATGCATGGCTTGCGGCTGTCCGGAAATAGTGTGCCACTGAAGTTTCCGGACTCTTGTAACAGCACCTTGACACACTCCCACAGAGGCCCACAATCAGAAGCCTTGTCGAGTAAGACAGCGTTGTTTTCTCTTTGCAGTGGGTGTCCTGCCGTGCTGCATCTGCTTTCCCTTGCCGGTCCCCTCCTTGATACCCCTCAGGTCTGGCCTTGTAGACTCGAGACAAGACTGCCACAGTGGCAGTGGTAGGTGTGCGAGCAAGTTGAACTGGAAGCTTTATCAGTATGGGTTGGGGAGCTGACTGCACAGCCAGTGACCGCACCTTACTTATTTATCAGTATCATGTGCTGTAACTAGTCGTTGTTGCGTCTCTTCTTTTTCCCTCTAAGGCATGCTGGCTGTTTGTCTTCCATGCATTGCTGGAACTGTTACACTGTCCAAGTCTTTGCTCGTTAAGTGAGGGGCGGTTCGAGCGCGGGTATTTCTTCACAGATTGGCTTTTGGGAGAGGGAGTTTCTTCACGGATTAAGTGTCTGGAGGGGAAACAGCGTCCTTTTTCCTCGGTTGGGAGCGAGCGGGCATTTCTTCACGGATGAAGTGTTTAGGATGGGAGAATTCTGTCTTTCGTCGTAGGAAGGTGGGCGCACGGGTATTTCTTCACAGACTCAGTGTTTGCGGGGGGAGGTTGTGTCCTTTTCCTCGACTCTTCCCGGATTAAGTGTTTGGGAGGGGGAATCTGTATCAGTTTTTCCTCGCCGGGCGGCGACCTTCTGGGATTTAAATGTTTGAGACTGAGGAAACTGTGTCGGCGAGCGGGTATTTTTTACCGGTTAAGTGTTTGAGAGGGGAATCAGTGTCCTTTATCCTCGGCGGGACTTGTATGTTTCAGACGCGGTGGGGTGCATTTCCGGTCCGATTTCAGGCCCGGAATTCAGGACTAAGGATATCAGAATTTGAACGCAGTGCAAAGACAAATTCTGACGCACGTATGGTGCAGTCACATGCATTGGTGAGAGATAGGGTTTGAGGTTGCGGCATTTAAGGTTAAGGGTTGCGGTTTTTGGGCTTCAGCGACCTTTACGGTTTGTCTTTTTTGTGGGATTAGGCTTTAGGCTTGAGGGTTTTGGTGCATTAGCCATCTTAGGGTTTAGAGTTTGGGGTTGAGGGTTCAGGGTTGGGTTTTTTTGGATTAAGGCTTTGTGGTTCGGGTTTGGTGTGTGGGGTTTTAGGGTTTGGGGTGAGGTAGGGTTTAGGCTCTTGCGTTTTCGAGTTTGGGGTTGGATTAGGGCTTTAGAGTTTAGGGTTCAGATTTAGAGTGAGGGTTTAGGGTTTTGCGGGTTAAGCTTGAGGGTTTTTGGACATCAGCGATCTCAGGTTGAGGGTTTAGGGCTGGGTGTTTTGAGGGTTAGGGAGTTTAGGGTTTGTTTTTTCTGGGATGATCTCAGGATTTAGGGTTTGGGGTTGAGGGTTTAGGGCTGGGCTTTTTGCGATTAGGGCTTTGTGGTTCGGATTTGGGCTGTATAGAAATTGTTTTGGGGTTTGGGTGCCAAAAACGTTTTGACCGAACGTTTTGACCGAAAGTTTTGACCGAAAGGTTTTGACCAGGCTTTCCGACTGAAGCCTGATTTTGGAATGAGCAGACAGGGGCTGGGGCTGGGGGTTTTAACTAGCTGGACTGGGGCTGGGGTGGGACCTGGGGGCTGGAGGTTGAAGGGGCGGGGCAGGGGGCTGGGGGTTGGGAGCGCAGGTTTTGAAATTCAACCAGCCCACGGAGTTTTGCGATTGGAACCTGATGTGAATTTGGGGAGTTTTGTGACTTGACCCTGGTTTTGGGCTGGGTTGGGCTGGAAATTGACGGTCTAGGGGGTTCAACGTAAGTGGTTTAAGGGGCTCAACACAATCAATGACAAGCAATTTCTATTTATTTGTTTCTTGAGGGTTTAGGGTTTGGGGTGAGGGTTTAGGTTTAGGTTTTTGGGGTTTAGGAGTTTAGGCTTTGCGGTTTAGGGTGTAGGTGTGGGGCTCAGGGTTTAAAGGATTTTTGGGGCTCAGGGTTTAGGGTTTTGGGGTTTGCGTGGGGCTGAGGGTTTTTGGGGTTTGGGGTTGTGGGTGTTTTTTTTGGGATTAGGGGCACAGATCAAGGCCATGCAAAAACTTCGCAAGATCGCATGGCCAAAGGAAAAGGGTAAAGGGTTTGTGCAACACTACACTCATCGACGAATCCCATGAAATAATCAGCAGAAAAGGCCATCTGACAGGGAATTGCGTTTCGCGCGGCCCTGCCCCGCGTCCCACGCGTCCCTCCTGCGCCGCGCCCGTCCCACGCATGCTTTGCCTGCAGGGTTTGGGTTCTGAGGTTTAGGGTTGAGGGTTTCGGGGCATTAGCGATCTCAGGGTTTAGAGTTTGAGGTTGAGGGTTCAGGGTTGGGTTGTTTTGGATAAAGGCTTTGTGGTTCGGGTTTGGTGCGTTCGCGTGTGTGTCTGTGTGTTTTTTTGGGTTTGGGGTGAGGGTTTAGGGTTTAGACCAGTTTAGGCTTTAGCGTTTTCGAGTTTGGGGTTGGGTTAGCGCTTTAGGGTTTTGGGTTCAGGGCTCAGGTTTGGGGCTCAAGGTTTTGGGTTTTTCGGCATTAGGTCGGGGTTTGCGGTTCAGGTTCTGAGGATTTAGGGGTGGCAGGCTTTAGAACTTTCCACCGTAAGAACGTCCAGTGCGACCCCATCCCATTGCCCGAACCGCAATAATGTCCACTCCGCTCCCACCCCAACATGCCAGAGCATCCGTGCCAGAACCGCAACAAAGTCCATTCCGACCCCATCCAATTACCAAAGCATGCGTGCCCGAACGTGCACTCCCACCCAATGCGCGAACCGGGCCTGAAGGCGTGCCCGAAGCGCCCTCAGAACGGCTGAAACGCATTCGGCCGGTTCCGAACGGAAGGCCTGAAACGCAATCCCCCGGACACGAGTCGGCGGACCTGAAACGCGCGTCCACATTTCCGTGGAGGGAGGCGAGCGGGTATTTCTTCACGGGTTCAGTGTGTGCGAGGGGGAAACAGAGCCTTGTTTCCTCGGTGGGCGGCGAGCGGGTATTTCTTCAGGCATTAAGTGTTTGGGAGGGAGAAAGGGTGTTCTGTTTTCTTCGGCAGGGGGCGAGTTGGTGTGCCTTCGCGGATTAAGTGTTTGGGAGGGGGAAACGGGGGCGAGGGCAAGAATCGAGTATTTCTTCACCTTGGTGTTGAGAGAAGGTCTGAGGCCATCTGTTAGGGCATGCGGCGTGCGTTCCCATGATATCCTCAAGTATCACATTCCAACAAGCCGTGGACAGGGTAATCGGGAGTCTCAATGACACTGAGGACAGTCTGAATCGATGAAGTGTGCAGCGGCAAGCAGGATACGGGTAGAATGCACCGGGAAACAGGAAAGGGGGTTGCAGCCAGCACCAGAAGCACACGATTCAAGCAAGTTAGCGGTAGAGAGCACCAAGAAGCACATGCTGTGCAAACTGGACATGCGTAGAAACAGCCAGATGTCCGCAGCTGGTGGCTCCCTGGTTTCCGGTGCAGACCCCGCTGGTTTCCGTTACCGATGGCAGCGGTGGTTTTCGGTACTGTTTGTTTTGATCTCTGTTGCAACCGTCACCTGCGATCCACACGCTGCAAACGGACAGGGGTAGACAGCACCGAGAAGCACGCACTGCAAGCAGGAAAGGGCAACACCAGCACTATATGCATACTGCAGGCAGGACGCGGGTAGGGAGCACCCAGAGGACAGGATGCAGGCAGAGAGCACCGCGAAGGGCAGAGATCACCCAGGCGAACATGCGGCAACCTTCGCAGGGTTTGAGAGAGGGAGATGTACACAATGTACACGCTGCAAACAGGAAAGGGGTCGAGAGTCCCAAGAAGCACACGTTGCAGGAGGGGAGTAGAGAGGGCACCAAGAAGCAAGCAAACGGGATTAGGGCCATGCAGCCGCGTAATCGAGAGCAGCTACTCTAGCGGCTGCAGCGGTGCGAGGTCGACGACGAGGCTCCGGACTTTCCCACAGGTGTTGAAAGGCAGTACTCACCCGTCGATTGAAAATGTTGGGCCCGGCCGCATGCGCCTGCGCCTAGGAGCTGCTCTGCAGGACTCAGCTTTGACTCGCAAGCCTTGCAGCTAAATTTGCTTGATTCCAAGCGCTCGCGCTCCGGTTGCTATCGCATGTCGCGACCAAGGAACCAAGAACCCAGCAACTCGGTTCTGCCCATCTCAGAACTTCTGACGGAGCATCCAGCACCTGGCACAGCCAACTTTCGACGCGCAGACGCACACACCTGCAGCAGCCATGGCGGTCCCTGGCACGGCGTTCTGACGTCTGATGGCTGCGCCACTCCGTGCCGGAGTCGCCCCGGCTGTGCTTCGCATTTTGGAGAGAGGCATGCGGAGCACGCTTTGTGGCCGTGGCCAGGTGTGGCTTTGCCGCCAACCTTCGCGAGTCGTCGCCGCAGTGCCGGCTGCCTACTGCGTCCTACTGCGTGAATGTGAATGCGAATGCGTCCGGAGCTTTCCAGGCCGGGAGACCCTGGGCGCCATCGTTTTATGGTAGGCGGACGTGTGTGCGGTGGGCCTGGGGGGTCTTGGAAAAGAGCGCCCCAATAAACCAGGCACCTGCGATCTCCAAGACAAGAATGGGATCCACGTCGTCCGTGGCCAAGCAGACCAGAGACCATGCTGCCGGGATGTCACATGGCCTCCCGGATGTTCCCATCAGGTAGAGTTTTCTGAGGAGACAGCGGAAGTCTCCTGCCGGTTGCCGAGGGCAACCTGGGATCTGGGATCTTAGGTGGCAATGGCCGACGCTGTCGCTGAGGCAAGCAGTCCTTCGAAATCGAGGACGAGGTTCAGACGAAACGGCAGGTGCAATGGAGGAAGGGCAGCCCGATTCACAGGTGTGGCTCATCAGCCCATCGCCTTCAGACTCTCAGACGGTGCTGCCCCGCAAGTGCGTGCGCTTGTGCAAGCGTACCTCCGCCTTCCTCCCTCCTCGGGTTCTCAGGTCCTGACGTCCGGCTTGTGCCACTCCGGCGGCAAGAGCAGCCCGGCGCCCAGCCGCCAACGAAGAAGACGAGCAGGAGGAAGGAGCCAGGAGTTACAAAAAGGAGTTTCGAGAAGTCTCCGAAAGCCGAAGTGAGGCCCGAGCCTTCGGCTGATCCGCACAGACGGCTCCCAGGCCCGGCGCCGAGACGAAGAGAGCGATTCTCCGAAGTTTCTCGCCGCAGCCGCTCCGAGGTCTCCCAGCAGCCCCTGGCCCTGAGTGACGAGGACAACCCCTTGAGTGCCGTCCCGCGCCTAAACGCCAGCTTACTGGTCACCGCCTCGCCCCCCCTGGGCTGGGCTCGCGTGTGTGTGATCAGGTCAAGACTGCGCTCTGGGATCCCCATCAAGAGGGCTGCATCGTCGTGGCAGATGCCGAGGCATCGAACCGCCACAGCTCGTCGAAGCCCAAGCAGAGTTTGTGCCGGAAGCAAGACGTGCCCCAGGCAGTCCAGACCTTCAACATTGGCGCTGGGAAGCTCTCTCGCCAAGTGACTTTGCATGTTGGGCAGAGGCAAGGAGGGACGCTCCCGTCTGGGGTCATGGGAGGGAAGCCTGACTGGGCAAAGATAGGTGCATGGGAGCTTGTCTGGATCCTCACCACCGGCAGCAACTGAGCACGGCGGACCTCTCAAAGCACGCGGCTTCTGCACGTCTTGCATCGTCTTGAAACCGTCAGGTGGATGACGGACACTTGAAGACGTGGGACCTGCGAACGAGCCGGCTGGCTTTCCGAAAGGCCGTCCAAAGTGAGAGCCGAGCAATGGCAATGGCTTTGAGCGCAGCAGGACGGTGTTCACCTGTTTGGCGCCAAAGATGTGGACTACAACCCCAATGTGGGAACTCCAGAGATTGTGGACATGGGCACCTGTGCTGCTTCGGAGGTGCCATATCAGGTCCTCACCACCGGGGAGGTGCCTTCTCTGAGCAGACGGAACTTCTCTGGAAGCCTCCGCTTTGCATTTTTCCAAGGATGCGTGCCTACGCTTCTGGGATCTCAGGCATCAGACGCGCATCCCGCGAGCGGGATCCGAAGTTGAGACCGGCAGGCAACTGTCCACGTGCTTGCGCAGCTTATCCGGTGGCCATCACCACTGGGCTGCGGGCTTGTGCGGGCTTTTGCTGCATCTTGTCTAGGTTTCAAAGTCTGCTCTAGTTCTCGAGGTCGTCAAGGCGCGCTTCAATGCCCACCACGACCAGCCAGCCCGGCTGCTTCAAAGATGGCCCTGAGAGAAGTTGCGTGGGGTTGCTAGCCATGACAGGTTGGTGCTCTCCTGCGGCACTGACTCCATGCTTTGTCTCTGGCGGGCGACCTCTGCCGGCTCCTTCTTTGCGCGATTGAAGGTGCGTGCGTGTGGCTTGACCCACGGACCCAGGTGGCTTCAGCTCCGCTGGGAGGCAAGCGAGGGGAGGCGCAGAGAAGCGATGCGGAAGAAGCGGTTGGATCGGTACCAGCACGCCTCCTCTGCAGGAGGCCGCGCGTGCCTCCGACGGGCTGGTCCGGAAGTATGAGGAGCACGAGGAGTCAGAGGGACAGAACCCGAGGGACGGAGAGGAAGAGAGAGGTCTTGGAGACCAGAGCGCACTCGCGCTCGCGCGCGCGGGGGAGGGAAGCAAGAGAGAGCCAGAACGTGATGGGAGGTGGGAGGGAGGAAGCCTGACTCTTGCCTTCACAAAGGACAGAAGATGTCACTTGACACAGATGTTGTTGCAGGACTCATGTTACAGTTGCTGCTGGAGCGCTTCAGATGCTTGGGTCTTCGCCTCTGTGTCGTTCGACGGGAAGCTGGCTTTATCCTCAGCATTCCATCATGCGGCAGACAGCTGATGACGCCGACGCCGCTCGTGCGCGTACTCGAGCAATCGAGGTTGTCAATCGGGTCCCGGACGAGGAGAAGTACCGGATCCTGATGTGATGCACGTCTCACCGCGGTGAAAAGAGCATGCAGGCATGGAGCATCGCGGAGCCTTGTCTCAAGGCTTTTGGCTACATAGGTCGCGGCACACGCAGCAGGCAGCACGCAGCGCCCGGTCGCAGGATTTTGCGCTACGGGGCAGCCATGCCGGCTCAAGACAGCCCGAAGTCCATGCCAGGAAGCCCTTCTTGCCTTCGCGTGGCCCGCCTTTGCCTAGAAGCCCGGAGCTCTGCCTAGAGATCCTAGAGGCTGTAGGCGGAGGCCTTGTAACGGCGCTTGAGAGCAAGTGACAGGTCGGGCCTGGGACGCAGAGAGGACTCTCGGAGAGGCGTGGATCAAGTTTTTCCGAGGTCCTGAGCTCGAAGAAAAAGCCTGCCGCAACTGAACGTCCTCTCTGAGCCTGCGCCGCGGCGCCGCGGCGCCGCTTCCGCCCCAACCCTCTGCTCGCAGGGGCTAGCTGAGAGCTTCCGGCGGGCACGGCGCGGCCATGGCGGGAGCCGAGGACTTCGTCTGGCCCGGGGCGGACGCCCAGGCAGCGGAGCCTCAGCGGAGCCTCAGCGGACTCAGCGGAGCTCTGCTGTGCTCTGTTTTCTGCACTCTGCGCAGGCGAACGAGCCCAGCGCCCCGAGCGCCGCCCCGGCGCCGGAGGTACCGGCGGGCGGCGCGCCGACGGCGCCTGGCGTGGTGCCCCCGATGCTTCCAGGCCCGCCCGCGGTGAGGGGGAGGGATGAGGGATGAGGGGTGACAGTGAGAGAGGGCAAGGAAGAGGAAGAGTGAAGCTTTGCCGCAGGTTGCTTAGCAAGTTCGGGTAACCTGTCGAGACTGATTCAGGGGATTTTAAAAGAGCAGGCATGATGATGCCTGGTATGCTGCCGGGGATGGCGATGCCAGGCGGGATTCGAGAGCTTGGCGGGGTGGTGTGTCTTTGCCGGGAGAAGGCTTCTGCCTGGCAGGCATGATGCCCGGAATGCTGCCAGGCTCGGCCGCCTTGTTCTTGAAGGCCTTCGAAGGCAACCAGGCTGCTCTCTTTGCCAGGTGCCAACCCGATGCTCTTGGCATCCATGATGATGCCCAACCCCATGATGGCTATGATGATGGGTGGTGTCGGGGGCGCCGCAGGTGGGCTGGAAAAACCAGCAGGAAGTGCTTGAGCTACAGTTAGACACAGGCTTGGCAGCAGCGGGGGAAAAGAAAGAAGAGCCGAGCAAAGTGGAGTCGCCTCGACCTTGGCAGAGATTAAAGACAGGGCACATCGGAGCACTGGTCATACGTGTTTTTTGGTATTACTGGGTACCGAGGCCCATAGACAACCGGGTTAGGGAGCTTTGTCGCGATTATGGCATCGAGGAGAGGGGGCCGAGTGCCGACGGAAGCCGCACCCAGCTCCGCCATGTGCCTGGGCCAGGACCGGCTCATGCGAAAGCTGAACGACGTCATGTGGGCGCCTGAAAGCAAAAAAACAAAGGGCGGGCAAAACGTGGATGGTCTTTGAGGATGCGGCGGCCGGACACTTTCGAGGAAGACTTGAACACCGTCCGGTCCCGACTCTCCAAGGCACCCCCAAACGGCTCACGTCGCAGAAGGCAGAAGGTGTGCAGAATCGTGCAGGAGCGGCCCGACATAGGCGTGCTGATCACCCAGCTGGACCGGGGCATCTTCGTCACTCGATCCAACATCCACCCAGCTACTCGGTCGAGCTTTCCAAAGCCGCAAGCCGTTTTCGGAAGGAGAAACTTGCACGCGCGTGTTGCACTCTCTGTAGACGTCGTACTCTGAGGACATGATGGCAGTGGTGAACAAGTACAAGCTAGATGCAGAGCCGCCTCGATTTTGGGGGGAGACGGTAGACAGCGCGACGTGGACTGGGATAATGCTGCTGCCAGGACCGAGCGACTCAGCGCTTGGTGGAAAGCATGAGGAAGAGGAAAAAGACGATGCAGGAGGCCGGGTGCTGTGCCCCGGCCCGGCTGCGCATGTGCCGCGCTTCTTTTGGGTCACCTCTTTTTGAGTCTGTGTGGAAAAGGACTTGAAAGCCATTGATGTTCGCTTGGCGAGTGCTGAAAGACCTTCTGGATTGCTAATGACGCTCCTCCAGGCAGGGCAAACGAGTGCATGTTGCATGTGTATTTAGAGAGGGCTTATAAGGGCTTGTCTCCTTGACATGGAGACACCATCTCCGCTCTTCTCCCAAAACTCACGGCAGGGCTTGGACACGATGGGAAAGCTCCCGGTGGCGCCAAAGTCGCTGGGCCTCCCAGGCCTCGATTCCAAGCAGCGAAGCCGCGAAGCGGAGCCAAACAAACGCCCGCCGAGCAACTTTGGTGTGCTGAGTGCTGCGACAGGTAGCTACGATCCGCGCGAGGACCTGCCCCTGAGTCTTCGGTCCTCTCTCCTCTCTTTCAGCTCTGATACCGGAGGAGAAAGAGAAGGAACGACCGAAGGAACGGGACAGGGACCGAGGAAGAGATAGGGATCGAGCCGCGGCCTCAGCTTGCATCGTAGAAGCAACCCTTTCTCAGTGCCTGTACCTTCAAGGATCGAGACAAAAAGCGCTCCAGATCCAGGTCCAGAAGGAGAAAGTGATGTTTCCTTGTCGCAGAGGGAAGTGCTCCCGCTGCGAAGCCGCTCCTGTTGACCACCATCACTGGTATATACATAGGAGTTGTGTGGCAAATTCCGTCAACTGTACCAGTTGCCTGCTAAATTCGACACCCAAGCCCAAGCCCGTAATGATTTTGCAGGATGGAGCGTAGGTCACAGTCGTTAGTATCCCAATAGCACTCAAGTGTAGCTAGGATGACTATTTTGTTTCACCACCACCTTCGGAATGGGGTGGAGTCTAAACTCCAGCGCGCAGGCGACAAAAGACTCCTGGAGTGAAAGCAATTGATTCACCTCCGGTAGCAGCTTTCACGTCTGGTCGGATCTCTGCTTCCGTGCGACGCTTGCACGACTGCGGCTTTGAAGCAAGCGTTTGGGCCCAGGGGCCCCATGCGAGAGCCAGTGAGACGGTATATAAAATCCTGCAGTATGCAGAGATAAAGCTGTCCATTTGAGGCGGTAATACTAACGGTTCCTTGAACAGAGGAGCTGCGCGCCCAAATGGAGATAGCACTTTGCAGCCCAACTGAGTGTTCACGTCGTAAAACATGGCAAAAATAGCGTTCGTTCTGCCCATTCATGAGCGACTGCAAAAATGATTCCTCCGCTGGATTTTCCGCGATTCGGCGATTGAAACAATGACTCGACAGAATTTCAAGTGTGCTAATCTGAATCATTTGTTGGATAGTGCCACAGTTTTCACAACATGTTTTCCGTGTGAGAGCGACTTTCGTTGGCTTGTAGTGGGTTTGAAACTGCAACAGCTGCTGGGCTTTCTGCAAAAAGCAAGAATGACTTGTCTCGTGCAATCTGCAGCCCCTATGGGATCTCGCTCCGCCACTAGGAGGACTAACAAAAAAACTGCCGCCGCCACTTTACTGTTGCCTTACACATGTAAAGGTGGCCGCTCGATGCATGTTTGCAGGGAGTATCATCCAATCACCCCATCTTTAATCTACAATATCAACACTGCGCCTCTTTCTTATCCTTTCTTGTCGTTCTACACATGGGGGCAATCATGGGGGCCTTCTTTTGTTCTACACCGACTCGCTTGGAAACACCAGTGAGCTGAAACCTTGCAAATTCCTGTAGGCAGAAATGCCCGAGTCAGCATGAACACGCTACCTCAAGAACAAACAGGCCTCAGCACACAAGTGCATTGCAGTGCAAACTGCTGCTGTGCTGTAGACGTCGGCGGGATAACCTTCAGTGAGCAAAATCACGGCTTGATCTTTTCTCAACCGCACGTGGAGTGCCCGAGCACGACGCCGTACGTCTGGCCCATTTCTGGCGGATGCCAGTCGGACCCTCTGGCTGACGAGTCTAAGTCCTGCCCGGAGGGCCGTGGTGATCAGAAAACTGTGTTTCCCTCGCGCAGAACACAGCAGCCTGGTCGCCGTGAAGGGCTTGTGCTTGCCAGGCCGAGGTCGCCAATTACTGGCTGAAGACCTCCCAGGCGGAACAATCTCGTCTTGACAGCGCACATCCAGCATCCTGATGTACCGTGTGTTGCTGTTTTGCTTGCGGTCATCGAGAAATCTTGGACGCGTTGAGCTTCAAGATTCAAGTCCCCCCTAACTAAGCCTCGACCAAATGCAGATTCGTGTCCGCCTGCGGGTCGCTTTCTACTTGTAGCATGCGTGCATAGCCATAATGGTGAAGCACCCGGCCATGGCCTTCTGCCCTGCAGGACATCAAGATGTTCATCGGGTTGATATCCTCAAGGAGTTCAAGGCGTATCGCTACCAAGTGCACAGGTGAAGAATTGTCTTTTGTGGACAAAAATGCCCGTGGAAAGACTGTGTTGGGACGACTAAATGCATGTGCAAGACACAATGTTTGAAAAACATTATTGCCATGGAAAGCCGTCGTCGGGTGACCACTTGCATGTCATGCGGCAAAACTGTCGTGGGGAGAGCAATAGCATGTGGCAAACCTGTTTTTGGACCTCCAAACTCGTTTCATGTTAGGAATGTTGTTCTTGTTATCATGCTGCTATGATTACTTCCGTTGCAGATACGGCTGTTTCTAAACGACGACAGCTACTGTGATGACTGCTGCGACATTTACAGATGCCGAGGCTAGCCTTGCTAATACTGGAACGACACCTAGGACTGTGATGGACTGTGTAGTTACAGTGTAGTTGCATAGCAATACACAGCACTCCCAAGGCGAACCTATGCAAATGCAACTGTTGTCTGCGGTTGACCCCTTCGCGAACCTGGAGAATGCCAATTGCACGCACCATATTGGATTCGATATGGAATGACAGTACTTGTCAGCCTCGCCTACTCATTCAACAGCCTGCACACAGTTTCGGAAATGGGGTGACCAGCTAATTTGCCCTTGCCAATATACAGAATTTTTCGCAGCAACACTTTTGACGTGATCAGGTTTCT